GCTCCCCGAAACCAGGCCAGGGAATTGAAGCTCGGGTCGGTAAGCTGCAGAGTCTGCAGTTGTTTTTTCTGATTGCTGCCGCGGCTATTGCAAGGCTGCCAGCGCACTCGATGCAAGCTTCCCTTCAGTTTCCCTTCCATGGAATTAAACTGGCGTGGAAACCCGTCTCTCAACGAAGGGCTCAGACTCCTGCCCCAAAGAAGTCGTGTCACAGTGGCCAGTGAAGATGTGTGACGGAGATGGTCTCAACACTGATGGGGCAGGAACTTGCGCAAGCTGTGTCGCTAATTGGGTAATCGGGTGGCATCTAGCGGTCATGAAACATGCAATTTTGTTCGAGAGCCGTGGTCTCACATCCAAGACAGTGTAAAAGGTGTGGATTGAAGTAATCGCAGATTCTCCTATTAACGGCCTCCGTAGAGCCCATGAGCCTATGAACTTTGCGTTGCTACGGCACCAGATGTTAGGCCTCAGCGGTGCAAAATATTTAATGAACTCCATTATTCTATTCTGGATTCGCGAGTGGGTCCCTTGTGCTCGGGTCGCTCTGCATTGCTGTTCCTCTGGAGGGCACAGCTCCAAGGGCCCAAGGGTCAGTCACAGGACATGGCTTGGCTGCCGCAAATGGCAGAAGGCACTCGGAGGCCGTTTTGGTTCAAGTATACCTACGGATCCGGAGTTACGAAGTGGGCGCGATGAACCGCTTCCTGGGAAGCCACTCCGCCACGAGTTGCCGCGTTTTGGTCCGACACGTTGTTCACTCTCTTTTGCTGTACCTTATAAGTCGTAAGCATAATTGAAGTATTTCGGGTGGCTTTGACCATGAGAAGCTTGGTGACACCTACGTACGAGCCCCAAACTCACCTGTGAGAACTGAGGGCTTCGCGTGTCCTCAAAAGTTCGGGAGCCCTGCCTGCTCCGGCCGATATTTGACACTTCATGACATCATTGCGGTTTGAGCAGCCAGCAAGGAACTGTCTCCAACCAACTGTACGTCATGCTGACGCAACTGTAGAAACAGGGAAAGCACCGCACCGCGAGATAGTAGCAGTTTGCGCCAGGATTTACTATCGGATTTACGTTGTGGGCGCTCCTGGCACCTCAGAGCAGCGCTGCGAAGTATATCATTGGCCAGGAGGTGGCCCGGCGGCTTTCGAGCAAGAGAGCTGTCACTTCGGCGCCGTCAAGTGCGAATAATGAAAGGTTTCCGAAGCAGTCTGGCAGCCCTTGCTGTCAATTTCCTCACCGAACGGATTTCTCAAGCTCATAGCATTCCCACAGTTTTGCAACACAAAGTGCTCGTGTGCTTGTGCATGTTGGGCTGCAGCGCAGCCTTCCGCGACCTTGTCTGGGTGCGCTGCCATGTACACATGCAACTGAATCCATTGAAGCTTTTGTCCGAACCAGCCAGAGTTTTGCGGCAGGAGCGGGCTGGTGCTTACGAGGCCTGGTTGGACATCAGATGTTCAGCTAGGGCGTACATCAGCTCGAGGCTCGAGGCATCTCGAGGCTTTCGATTTCGATGACACATCCCCAACCAGCACGTGTATCTCACGAGGGTGACGGTTGCTGAAGGTTTGGGACAGCTGGTTGAGGTCTTGTGCTGTTAATGGAAAACTGTGATAAAGCATGTTTCTTTGGCTGCTTTCAACAAATGCAAAGGAAGCTGTCGCGTGCTGAAGCTTTTCCTGCTTGTGTCTATGAAGCAGAACCCTCGACTGTGGCCGGAACCAACAGGTGGTTTTTGATGAGGAGAAGACTGCGCTCGACTTGTCCAAGGACTGCTATCCTGGCAAGGCCGCACCACCAGATCACGGCATTCCGAGTCGGACTGGGGAGTGCGGGTGCCCTGCATGCTGCGAGGTCTGCCCGCCAGTGGTGATTATGGTTGGCCGACAAGTAGGCGCGCGGCCGCACGCGAAGTTTTATGAGTATCCGAAAGCTCAGAGATCGGCAACGAAGGCAGCCCGACGGCGAGTGTCACAAGCGAGAATTTATGTAACCCCTCAGCACTTAATCACACTATGCAATGCGAAGATTAAGAGGATTGCTGTTCCAGGAGCATGGGATCTTGAGGATATCCAGGTTCATAGTGCGCAACTTTACTTCCGGTGTTCGTTTTGTTTGAGTTTACGATATCTTGGACTGAACCAACTCTGTTCAAGTTTGCATTGGAGCTATCTCGGTATCATTTGGGAGCCACTCCAGCAAGACTTATCCGATTCAGCACCCTCTTGCCCTGGCATCTCACACAGAGCGCATAAGCAGCCTCGCGAGTCTCGCTCCTACTCCTCTCGCGCGCGCATCGCCGCAGAGCCCGTCCAGACCTGAAGTTTTTGGCGGACAGGAACGATCGAGGTCTCCAACTGCCACGAGGGCGCAGCATTCTCGGTTTGATCACCAGAAAGCTGCAGTGCAAGTTGCCTATACTTGGAGGCTAATGAGGTCAATGAGCGCCTTCTGAAGGTTGCTTGGATGGACATGCATGGCCCCGATCGCACAGGTTATGTACACTTTCGTGAACAAAGGAGACCTGGCCCTTGCCTCAACAAGCAGCTTTTGCTTCAAGTTGCACTGAAGGTTAGCTATTTTCTGCTTGGGGGTTTCTGTAAATGCTAACGTCCTCTTCATCTGGAATTCGCGAAACGTTTGACTAAGAAAGCATTGGGAAGTTGGGAAGGTGGAAAAATGCTACGCCGGGAACGCCTGTTCTACGAACTGCTTCGGAGTCAAAGCAACCTCACAGTTGGATCCGAGCTCGGAAAAGGGGAGTGAACACCATCCGACACCGAAAATCCTGTGGCTTCCATGATCACGAAAGCTAGCTCCATTGGGGCTTGCAGGAGCTGTTGTTTACAGATTTGGGCCTTTGCTCCTGATACATCAACCCTCACCCGGCTGAATTCGGAACCCGCCCCTCACCCCCCGGCCTTGAGGCCCACCCCTGCAAGGATCAGTACAACAGACAGCAGAGCCGCGATCATTCGGCAACGTAAATCTGCACCACTGAAGACAGCAGCATTGCCTAACGCTGTTTCACGTTCACCACAGGCTTCTTTTCGACCCGTTGTTGACAAGAACCAGGTTTGCAGGGGCACAGCATACAAGGACTGCCTCTGTTGTCTACCTACCTTTCGTCCGCTCTGCTCTCCACTGAGGTAATTCTCTGCTCGTCCTAAATACTAAGCCGCAACTCAAGCGGCCTTGGTTGCGCCACCACTCTGCACATCTGAAGATTGATTGATGTCGGCTCAGACTCTTTAGGTCTTCGCTTGGTTGTTCAGTCTGGTCCCTTGCCCAACCTCCCATGAAGAGGGATGAAGAGGGCGACGTTGAGCACACACCTCTTCGTTCTGTTACTTGCTCCCAAGGATGCTGGCGTCGTCGTGCAGCACGAAGGAGGTCTCTATGGTTCCAAGGCTAAGAGCTCTGCAGCCAGCATTTCCAGAAGCGTTCCAGGAGCTGCAGCGTCAGGATGTTGTGAACTGCAAATCTATCTGCAGACTTTGATCCGAAGCCTTGTCCTGTACTTATATCCGGGCCTCAGGTATACAGAGGCACCCTTTCCTAAGTGCCCCAAACTCAAGCACAAACCGCTGCAGGGTATCCCGCAGTTTGGTGTCGGAACATGCTTCTGCTACCGAGAGGGGGCCAGGTGCTCGGACGGAGTCACATCATCCAATCTTACAACATCGCGGTTTGCAGCCCCGACTCGTAGCCAGAGTGTCAACATGCTGCCTCCGACCAAGAACCTGATGTGCGGCTGATGCCGTTGCGAAGCATCGGGCCAGATCCCCAGTATTCAGTGAATTCAGTGGTTGTCAAGAGGTTTCACGAGCTTGAGGACAGTGTCTCAAGGGAATGTCATGAGCTGATGCCCTGACAGTACTGTAGCTTCAGCCGACGCTGCGCAGATGATTGTTGACGATGAGATCCTCGCAATGTCAGGCAAGCGGCTGCACATGCCAGCCCTGCTGTGAAAGGCAAGCTCGAAGATGCTGCTTTCGCGCGAAGACGGCACAGAAGACAGCTAGATTTGATTCCGGACTTCCCAGGGCCGGAATCCTGCAAGCCAGCCTCGAAACGCATCATCGCGTACAAGTAGGTGAGTACAATGCCTCCAATCAGCTCGGCAGTACAACAGATGTGCGCGTCGTTACTAGTTTGTTTGTTGACCTCGGGTGGCGCTGATGCTAGCATCCACTCTGTGAGGTGGCTTTGGCTTGACAGGGGACCAGCGATATCGTAGTGCTCCATGGGATCATGGGAGAGCACGCCTGTCAATAAGTGTGTGGACGGGAGCGATGCGCGCACAGGTCGCACAAGCGAGCATCAAGTCCTTTGCAGCGGCAGAGCAAAAATTAAACAACGGAACGGTATGCAACTGGGGAGCAGTCTGTCATTACACAGAACCTTGTTTGCGCACTCTCTCCGTCCAGGCCGCAGTGTACAAATTCAGCGAAAACCTTGATCGCAAAAACAGTGCCCCCACAGGCAGGCCATCGCATCATTCGTTCTAGCTGCGTTTGTCCCGAAGCTGGAACTGTTTTGGTATTTCTTCGTGTGCAATCGCTCTCTAACCGCTTTGCTGGGTGTCGCTAGTTTTCGATAAAGCCGTTGATGGCAGATCCCGAAGCTGCAGAGACATCCTGTCCCGACGCTGTCCGTCTTGTCGCTCTGTAAGATGTTTGGAATGCAGCAGTTCCATCCGTC